TGATGGTATGGAATTATCTATTGCCTGTGTTTTTGTGGATGTAGGTTGGAGTTTTCCTTCCATTACTTTCTGGAGGGCTGGATTAGTGGACAAGTGTTTAAAACTGGTTTTGTCATGGAATGTCTTGTTTTCGTTTTCTCCTGTGGTGAAGAAAATTTTGTTGAGTATATTAGTCTGGGCTGGCATATGCGGTCTCTTAGTGTCTGCATAATGCCTGTCCAGGACCTTCTGGCTTTCATTGTTTCCATTGAGAAGTTGTAATTCTGATAGGCCTGCCTTCATATGGCCTTTTCTTTTACAGCTCTTAATATTCTTTTTGTTTTTTGAGACAGGGTTTCTCTGTATTGCTTTGGAGCCTGTCCTGGCACTCACTCTGTAGACCAGGCTGGCCTCAAACTCAGAGATCCACCGGCCTCTGCTTCCCGAGTGCTGGGACATGTACCACCAGCACCTGGGTGGTGAGGGGACTTTTTTGGTTCAGTCTGTTTGGTATTCTGTAAGCTTCTTGTACTTTCACAGGCATGTCCTTTAGGTTGTGGAAGTTTTCCTCTCTGATTTTGTTTACTATGTTTGCTGTGCCTTTGAGTAGGACTTTCATTTCTCCCATTCCTATTATTCTTGGGTTTGGTCTTTTCATGGTGTTCCAGCTTCTAGAAACCACTGCTGGAAGCTGCTGCTGTCATCTCTCCTGGGCATTTGTTCACTGCTCATGGGCAGTCACTTGATGCTCCTGGGTGGGTGACTCAGGCCTCTGACCTAATATAGAACTTTTTAATGAATAAGTCTCCACTCAAATCAACATTTCTATCATTTTGAACTGGGGTTGCCAAATTACAGTGCAGAAGCCAAATCTGCTTTGATTCTGCTTCAGACATCTCTATGCTGAACTTCATGCGTCTTATTTTTCTCCATCTGCTACATGATGTAATAAATTGTATATATGATTTGCATAGGGACCTTGTAAGTTCCAAGATAGGTCTTGTCCCTTGCAGTCATTTCTCCATCTTCATTGCCAGCACAAATATTGGGTGACTCTCAATTGACTATAACTCCAGCTCCAGATCTGGTGAGCTCTTCTGGCCTCCAAGGGCACCTGTGTACACACACACACACACACACACACACACATTTTAAAAATAAACATAACTGGGCAATGTTGGCACATATCTAATTCTAGCACTCAGGAAGCAGAGGCAAGTGGATCTCTGTGAGTTCAAGGCCAGCCTGGTCTACAAAGAGAAACCCTGTTTAAAAAAAACCAAAAAATAAAAAAGTTAAAAAACAAACTAAACACTAGTAGTCAGAGATGCTAATGTTGCAGTGCTTTGTTGATTATGTTTATAAAAGGTTGTGGTAATTACATTTAGAACTAGTGAAAATATGCATAATTTCATTCCAGTTCTACTTTACAACCTGTCATCTCTGTCTGTTTAACATAGAAATTCTCATTTGTTATTATTTATATATGGGGTACCACAATGTAGCTCTGGCTAGCCTGAAACTCTGTATATCGACCAGACTGGCCTTGAACTCGATTCCCAAATGCTTAGTTTAAAGGTGTAAGCAACCATGCCCAGCCAGAAGTTCTCTTTGAAATCCTAATTAGCTTTGTTGGTTCTTTATATGCACTTTTGCATTCATAACTATCCCAGTGAGACAGTTTGAAGTAATGCTGAATCAGTGCTTGTCATGCAATAACACATAGAATTTCCTGAACAGCTTCCTAAAATACAGGTTCTGATTCAGTAGATTTCAGGTGAGTTCTGCCATTCAAGTGTATCTCAAAAGCTTCCAAATAAGGCCAAAGTTGTTCCTTGAAGACATTCACACTGAATACCAAGCTGCTGTATTATATTTAAACTTCTTTGTTGAGTAACAAAGATCAGCAAACCATAGCCTTGTAAGCTGGCCATTTTTGTTTTGTGTCTGTGTTTGAAACATGGTCTCTTTAGTCTGGGCTGGCATGTAACTTACTGAGTATCCCAGACTGGTCACAAACTCACAAAGATCCACTTGCCTTTTCCTTCTGGTGCTGGGGTTAAGTTATAACTACCACAACCAGCCTGTAACCACATTTTTTTTTTTCGAAACAGGGTTTCTCTGTGTAGCTTTGGAGCCTGTCCTGGCACTCGCTCTGGAGACCAGGCTAGCCTCAAACTCAGAGATCCGCCTGCCTCTGCCTCCCGAGTGCTGGGATTAAAGGCGTGCGCCACCAACGCCCGGCAGCCACATTCTTATAGTTCTATCTTTTTTTCTTTTTTTTTTAAAGATTTATTATGTATACAACATTCTGCTTCCATGTATATCTGCACACCAGAAGAGGGCACCAGAACTCATAACGGATGGTTGTGAGCTACCATGTGGTTGCTGTGATTTGACATGAGGATCTCTGGAAGAGCAGTGAGTGGTCTTAACCTCTGAGCCATCTCTCCAGCCCCTAGTTCTATATTTTCTAGGTTTTCCTTCTACAATGTGAAAGTTGAATTGTAATAGCAACCATATGACTCATAAAACTCTCTACTCTTAAGTTTGCTAGCTCCTCTTCTTTCAAATGATTTCTCTCCATGAGCCCTGTGATCATTCCATTTGTGTCAGTGTGCTGAGTCTTGTCTACTCATAGAACACTCTTCTGAATTATGCTTTTGGCTATGGCACATCATCTTTATCTATGTCCTCTGAACCCTTTATGTCTTGAAGTCATTTCTTAAATAGTCTCATTCCAGATTATGGTAAGTATAAAGACTCAAGGGATCATTGTACTTCCTTCAGAAGACAGACAGCAGGTTAATGTCCAGATGAAATGACAACAAGACCTGCTTTTCAGACCAGGTGCATTCATCAGCAAGAAATCATCTGTAGTGGCCAATCATCTTGCTTTGCAAATCATCTTGCTTTGCCAATGAACTTGTGGTGGTGGCCACACTCTTTGGGCATGGTTTCAGGTTCAGACACGACCCCTGATAAGGTAGAGGAGGGGCTGGCTTAAACTCTTGGTTTGTGTTGAGAGCATCAAAAGGGCAGAGACCGCATCTTCTGGAGCAGGAAGACCTCAGTGGTTAGTTCCTCTTATCTGTGTTGAGTGCTTCCCTAATAAGTACCTAATTATCATTTATCTTGGGTCTGGTGGACTCATTTAAACCCTATCCATTTAAACTGATCCTTTTCCTTCAATTCAAAACCCAATGACCAGGATTGTTAGAATTTAAACCATCACTTAAACTTGATGGGTTTTGTTTTGTTTTTTTCAAGACAGGGTTTCTATGTGTTGCAGCTTTGCTGTCCTGGAACTTGCTCTGTAGACCAGGTTGGCCTCAAACTCACAGAGATTCACCTGACTGTGCTTTCCGAGTGCTGAGATTAAAGCTGTGCACAACCATCACCTGGCAAACTTGGTGGGTTCTAAGAAAGTCTAAGCAAAAAAAAAAAGCAAATGAATGTTATGGATTTGGGAAGTAGTTGCAGCATATAAACCATGATAGAAGATCTAGTAAAGAAAACTTTGGGGGTTGTAGTGGATATGGGAAAGATTTTGTGCATAATCCAGCACCTACATATAATTTTTTTTGTATATAAAGGAGAGAGGGTTCCATCTACAGAAAAAAAAACATATTTGCAGTGAGTGTGGGAAAACCTGCTTCACATGGGAGCAAAATCTTATGGATGCTATGACTGTGGGGAAAACCTTTTTACATAAGTCATTATCTCTCACTAATCACCGGAGAATTCACACTAGGGGAAGACCCTTTGAATGCTTTGTGTGTGTGTGTGTGTGTGTGTGTGTGTGTGTGTGTGTGTGTGTGTGTGCAAGCCCTCACCACTCAGGAGTCACACCACACAGAACACCAAAGAACACATACAAGGGGTTTTGTGCAGTGAAAAGTCATACCTTAATGTACATTGGAAGATGCACCTTAAGGAGAAAAACTTTATTGTTGCAGAGAATGTGGCAAATGCTTTAGCCAGAAATCACGTCTCAATAAACACTAGAGAAAAAAATCCTATGAGTATAATGAGTGCGGCAAAGTCTTCTATCAGAAGCCAAACCTCAGACATCAGGAAATTCATGCTAGGGAAAAATGCCTACAGGACTGAGAACCTAATAATTGTGTGGGAAACCTGGATCAAGATCCCCAATCTTATCATTTTACTTTGTTTACATACAGTGCTTTAGTAGCAGGAAATTTCTACTCTCATTGTGGCGCAAATTTTAGTAGAAATATTACAGAACATAAGCATGTTTTTTCTGACACAAAAGCTCTAAACTTGTATGGTAACAACATATACAAACTATATGTGAAGAGACTTAGAAGTATATTATAACACATTCCTCAGTAAACCATATACAATTGTAAATATAAATTGAACCTGAGTTGAGGATATCAAACCTATATATCATAGAGTGCTCATTACCAAGTTTGTACTCTAAACATCAATGTCTTTTGATATGTTAACTGTGTAGAAAATAATCCTATAACCAACTGGTTTTAAGAACCATACCATATCAGCTATGTTTTCTCTACCTAGTTTGTGGTAAGTGTACATGTCTATAGTAGTTCTTATTGATCCTGTGACTGAATACTAAAGCAATGTCCTTAATATCTCTTGATAGATCAGGAGGCAAAACTACTAAAAACCTAGGAATTTATATTGGAAATTCAATATAAACTTGATTATTCTCCATATATGACCAAATGAAGTTTTCTTGTACATTGTATTCTTAGTCTTTCTGAAAGTGTCTTGCAGTAGACTGGAAGAGTCATTCTTTATATAATGCAGAAATATAACATGTAGGAATCAGCAAGAAATTCTTTCATTCATTTTAATTTTTTCTTTCTTTTTTTGAGACATGGTCCCACTATGTACCCATGAGTTTGAGGCCAGCCTGGTCTACAGAGAAACCCTGTCTCGAAAAACCAAAAACCAAATCAAACCAAAACAAAAACCTTTTAAATATGTTTTAAAGAAAAAGGAAGGGAAAAAAAAAACATTGAAACTGCACTTAGAGGGCATTTATGTAGTTTGGGGATAGAATCTTTTCTTCTGGGGGAAGGAGAGAGTTTTAGACTTTACATTCACATTTTAAAATATATTTAACAAATATATGGGAGAAAATTACAAATACATTAGATAAAATTGTATTGATAGGATATTATAGTTTTGAACTGTACTATTCTCACCTTCAGTGCTCTCCCCCAAAAGATATGATGCAGCTTTAACTCCTGGTAGCAGTGTATATGATTTCTCATGGAAATATGGTTTTGTGGATAAAGCCATTAAGATCATTAGGAGACCTTAATCCAGTATGACTGGTATCCATTCTCAGAGTGAATACAACGAGAATATAGAAGTAGAGAGCAGAATGACACAGCTACAAAATAGTGTCAAGTTCTGAGCTCTGAATAAAGGCCTTTCCATTCTTTCCATTCATAGAGTTTCACACCAGAATGAATTCCCTGGTGATTACCAAAGGCTTTCCCACACATCTTACATTCATCAGGTTTCTCACCAGTGTGAATTCTATGGTGCCGAATGAGCCTTGAGTGTTGAGTAAAGGCCTTTCCACACTCCTTACATTCACAATGGTTTTTCACAGGTATACATTCTCAGATGCTGGAAAAGTTGTGAACTTTGAGTAAAGGCTTTCCCACAGACTTTATAAGCGTCAGGTTTCTCAACCGTGGGAATTCTTTGATGATCATTAAGATTTGAGAATTTAAAGGCTTTCCCACAGACTTTACATTCACAGGGTTTCTCACCAGTGTGAACCCTTCAATGTTGGGAAAAATATCAACCACAACGAAAAGTCCTGCCACATGGGGCTGGAGAGATGATGGCTCAGCGGTTAAGAGCACTGACTGTTCTTCCAGAGGTCCTGAGTTTAATTCCCAACAACCACATGGTGGCTCAAAACCACCCTGAATGAGATTTGGTGCCCTCTGCTTGCCTGCAGGCACAAGACTGTATACATAATAAATAAAATCTTTAAAAATAAATAAATAAAAGTCCTGCCACACTCCTCACATTCCTAAGGTTTCTCACCAGTGTGAGTCTGCTGATGTTGAGTAACAAGTGAGACATGACTCCAGGCTTTGCCACACTCCTTACTCTCATAGGGTAAGTTCTGATTAAAAGTCTTTTCCCATGTCTTACATTCATAGGGTTTATCCTCATGATTAGTTTTTCAGTGTAGAGTGAAGAAATGCAGGGTGAATACAAGTGGGCATGTCTTTAGAGGTAAGCATTACTTGACTAACATGCCTGTTCTTTATCGACAACATCTTGGTTTCACACATTGGATTTCAGAACTGAAAGAAAATAAAAAGACACATTAATTTTTTCCTGTTCTGAGGGAGTTACATTCTGAAAAAGAAATAGAAGGAATAAGCTAGATAATAATGATGTAGGAATGGGCCCTCATGAGAACAATAAATGGGGGAGTTTGTAAAGCCCTTATTCATTTTCTCTAAAATAAAAATTTGTCTCTTCTCTCCCCTACTGACAATGTATGGATTGTGCTTTCCTATTTTTCTCTTAGTTCAGAGGTAAAACCCCATTAGACGTCCCGCCCAATGAACCATCCACCAAACTGTATCTTACATGAAAAAAAGTTTTTAAAGATACATTGTTATTTTGTGCATATGTGTATGAGAGTTATGTATATGCACCACATGTATACAGGTGTTTATGGAGGGAAGAAGAGGGGAAGAGGGTGCAAGACACTCACAGACACTCAGGAACTGGAGTTACAAGATGAAGGGGAGCCATCTGATGGGTGTTGGGGACTGAACCCAGGTCAGCAGCAAGTGCTCTTGACTGCAGAGCCATCTCTTCAGGAACCCACTCCCAACTTTATGAGAAAAGAAACTTCTTTAAAATGCTACCCTCATGACTAGAAGACAATTGCCTGACCCATCACCTTTCCAGAAACCTGAAGAAAAAAAAAGACCTATCTTAGCCATGTGTGGTGACACATACCTATAGTCCCACCACTGGGAAAGAGACAAGACCCTGCCTCAAAAACTAAACAGAACAAAAACCACGTGGGAAAGCCTCCGTATTAAAGCTTTTTGACTAAGTGTCTATTTTCTTTCTGCCTGTCTTAATATCTGTTATTGCTGGGATAGAAGTTACCATGCATTCTATATCAATGCCTAGGGAATTCAATGCTTAGATAGCTCTCAAATATGGCTAAGAAATTTTTAAGTGGGTTCTAAGGATTGAACTCAGGTTGTCAGACTCGGGTCTTCAGATGGCAAATGCCTTTACTCACTGGGCCACTGCAGCAGCCTTGGCTAAGCAATTTTTACAGCTGACAAGAAAAGCAGACATTAAAAAGAGCTGATCCTTATCAGAGGAGGTGATCCAAGAACTATAGGAATTTTAAATCTTGGTGCACTCAAGATATCTTAGTATTGTTAATTATTTAACTCTTGGCCAATAGTTGAATAGCTCATATTCAAACAAGGTTCCTCTAGCACATTTATTTTCTCCATAAAGACGTCACACAATTGTATCCTTGGGAATACTATAAGCACTATGTTTGGGGGTCTATTATTAATTCAGGATATAACTGAATTTTAGGACATCTAGATGGTGTCTAAGAATTAGCTATTGTTTATAAGAGGACACACATGCCCATGTCACAGGAGAAATGAAGTTACTTCTTCAGCTTAGGTGGAGCAAGGGGATCCACCTATACCACAAAGTATGAAATATAAAGGTAAGATGCTTTGAAACAATTTCCCTAAGTTTTCTAGAGTTTAGAGGGCACAAGACTGCCACCTATTCTTTTCCTTGGACCCATCACGGGATAAAGGACCTCAACAAGAGTGGATGCCAAGCTATGTGCTAGGAACTGTAGGTAACTCCTCAGTTGAGGAGACATGCTACTCAGTGCATTTCCAATTAGGGCTTCTCTGAGAAACTTATAAAAGCACCCCACTGTCTCGGCACGGGTATTAGTTCACATGGTCCCTCAAAAAAAAAAAAGTCCATGTTTCTCAGAATATATTCTCGTTCCTAAGCAATTTATGACTGTGCTTGAGATTGCCTACAAAATGGAAAGCCCACCAGACCTTGGCTGTTACTTGTAGTTCACCGTGCACTCTGCCTCCTCTGGGTAACTCACCTGGCAAAGGGTAAAACTGGGAGTAGAAAAAAAAAAAATAACCGTGACACACCCGGTTTTTTCTTGTTCACACTACCAGTCACAGCCCCACTATCCATCATGTATTTGGAATGACGACCAGGGAAGAATGAGCCCCCTGCCCACATCCCACCTCAGGGAGGCTTCCGGGGACAGAGCACTGCCAAGGGGCAGGAGTCTCAGGCAAGACAGGGTTTCTCTGTGTGGCTTTGGAGGCTGTCCTGGAACTATCCCTGGTAGACCAGGCTGGTCTCGAACTCACAGAGATCCCCCTGGCCTCCCGAGGGCAGGGACTAAAGGCGGGCGCCACCACCGCCCGGCTCAGGCACAGTGA